TGGTGGCAGGTGCCTATAGTCCTAGCTACTTGGGAGGCTGAGGCAAGAGGATTGCTTCAGCCCAGGAGTTTGAAGGTGCTGTGGACTCTGATGCCACAGTACTCTACAGGGTGACAGAGTGTGATTGTCTTAAAAAAAAGAAAAGGAAATTCCAGGCTAAATTCATACAACTATTAAATCAGAGCATATTACAAAAGCCAGAGGGCCACCAGGGCAATGTAGCTGCTGAGCAGACTTTACTGAATATCAGCCCCAGTCTAATCCTAAGAGCAACATAGATGCAAGGGAGTCCCACTGCACAGCCTTGAAACATCACCTTTGTCAAAGACAGAACCCTAACAGGAAAAATAATGGAACAGTGAGATTTAGAATGGGGACATTGGTATAGGCCTTATAACCCTAAACTCCCAGATTTCTTTTTTTTAATCTTCTATACCAATAGATTTCCCTTATCTGGGAATGTTGCAAAGAATATACCTGAAGCAAATGCTTCTTAATATGACCTAATTTTTCTCAGTAGCCACCCCTGTTATGACCACTAGGCTGAGCGTCCCAGAAGTAAGGATGCTGGAACAAACTTACTACACAACTGAAGTGCTCACCACGTAGAGATGTCGCCCACAAAGGTTGAGATGCAAGTTGCCCTACTGTTCAGGCCATTCATTCCAGCAGATCTCATACTGCTAGAAGGACTCATGATGGATAAGAGCATGGTGTGAAATATCTGGAAAGTGCCAGATCACTGCAGCCCAGTTCACTACCCTTCTGTAGGGCCATGCGTTGTGAGGCAGAGAAGTACTCTCCCTCAGGAAAACTAGAGCTAGATCTTTTCAGTCCCACCGAACCCTAAGTGCAAATGTGCAGAAGCAATCTGTTGAAGTGAGGAAACCATACAAGGATCTAGTGTGAGAAGGCCCAGAAGACACAAGTAGATGACTTGAAGGGGAAAGCACATGTCATGAGAATAAGATGGAGTCACTCCAGCTGGGCTAGACCTGACACAGCTGGTCTGGTCCTTTTAGGTCCTGTGTAGCCTTCACCTCCTGTCTCTCATTCTTATTGTTTTGTAACTTTAGCTTCCACCCTGAAGATGCCTGTCTTAAATAGTTTAGGAAGATCAATTTAGGAAACTGACTTTTCATTTTATTTATTTATTTTTGCAGTTTTTGGCCAGGGCTGGGTTTGAACCCACCACCTCTGGCATATGGGGTCAGTGCCCTACTCCTTTGAGCCACAGGCACTGCCCAGGAAACTGACTTTTGAACTGGAAATGTTATAACAGGTTGTCACCAAGTTGTCCTGATTATTATTTAAAATAAGAGTTAATGTGGTCTTTATATATAAAAGTGTGATTTTGGAAATGAAAGAACAGACAGTCTTGGAAGCCAAGGTAGGTGGATTGGAGAGGCTACTCTCACTGTTCTATGGAATCACTGGCCTTCTGATGAAGTTTGCTGAATCTACCCTTGTCTCTGTATATTGGCTGACAGTGACAGGTGGGCTGATCCTCTTCCTCCAGTTACAAAGTGTGATTCAAACTCCCTAGGTACTTGAATTGACAGCTCTTCCTCAACTCATCCCCATGGACTCTTGGGAGTTCTCCATGATTTCCTAACACAGAAGACAGCATTTGGGCCTGGTTCACAGAGCATTTGGCATATGATGTTGGTGGTCAGTTGAAGTCTGACAGCTGCATTTTAGCTCCCTCTGGGATGGCTGTAAAGTACAGCCTGTGGGGGGCTCTTCCCAGTTGACAGAGGATGGAGCAATTCACTTTATTGTTCACTTTACATAGGAGAAACAGTCTAAAGTAGAAATATTTACAGGTTCCTAGATTTTCCTTTCTTTTCTACAGTGACTCTGCCAACATCCAGTCACCAGAGCTATAGTGATGTTGATCAACATTGCCTCAAACAAAACAAAAACAATTTTATAACTACCCTGAAGTGACAATATACATGACAACAAAATTTACTAATAATCTGGTATTGCCATAGCCTTCATCAGTCAGGTGTAGCCAGCCTTATAAAATGATGGAGTGGCTTAGCTAATATGTGGTCTTGGCTTGGGGAATGATCCTATAGGATGTGGTAAGAGCACTGAACCAGCCAACAAGAATTCCTCCAACACCTAAAGACATGGCTCCCCAGAGACCCAGGGGTGGGAATGGAATTGGTCCATTTTACCATCACTCCTAATGAACTACTTGCAGAATTGGGTTTCCTGGATCTCAAATTTAGGCTTTGCTAGATTGCAATAGTTGGTCCCACAGGGATGAGGTGGGGGGATGCTTCCACCAGAATGTGCAGTATGGAAATTATCACACTTGAAACTCTGTCACTCAGTAACTCTGTGCTTCCCCTGGCAGTTAAGCAGCCAGCAAAGTAGGGAGTCATTATGTTGGTGGGAGTAATCAAGTATGATTAGTAAAAGGATCTGGGATTGCTACAACACAATAGCAGCAGGGAGGAAAATCTGGAATCCAAAGAACTCACTGAGGCTTATCTTGGTGTTTCTATACCCAGGGATAAATTGAACAGGCAATTAAAGCAATCATAGCTCAACTTGAGCAAGAGAAATAAAGGCTGAAGGTCTGGGTTATCTCACTGGAGAAACAACCTAGATCAGCTGATGAGGGGGCCAAGAGCAGGGGAAGTTGAGAATGGAGAGTGGAAGAGGGCATTTATGAACACAAGTACGGTCTCTACATCAGTGCAGAAGTGGAAACTGAGCTTATTCTATGAACTGTATTATAGTAAGTCCTTGCCGAGATTGTGGCTGACCATCACCTTGAAGGGACTTATATGTGAAGGACTGAACTAATGGAGGGCACGAGAAGATCCCAGTGGTGCAAGGAGTGGAATGAAATGAACACCAACTGTGCACTTTGTCACTGCTTCAAATCCCATCAGCCTCCTACTATAACCATTGCTGCAGCAACCTGCTGTGAGCAGGGTTTGATGAGGTTTGGGCAGCTGCAGCATGACAACACTCTCCTCTCACTCCCTGCCTGGGCATGTCTCTGATATGGGACTGGTTTGGCTACCCCGTTTGGAGTGTGGAGCAGTCAATGCCCAGGAGGACTAACCTTCGATCAAAGGCAACAGCAGTCAATGCTTCCTCCACTCTTGCCTTCAGTGGACAGTTCTCAGATTCATTTCATAAAGCTTCATAGAAGGCCCTAAGGGATTGGGAAAACACTTTAACAATGACCAGCTCAGTAACACATTCTTAGACTGCTCCTCACTCTTCCTTGATTCATTGGCTTTCCTCTTCCCTCACTTTTGCTCACTGCAGTCAAATCCATTGCACATAAGCCTCACTTTGGGGGGAAATCTAGGAGGAAAGAGGAGAGAGGAGAATTTAATTTGTGGACACATAAGTTTGAGACTCCAATTGTAAATGTTGGGTAGCAGGCAGTGGGCACACAAATTTGAAATTCAGGGAAAAGATACAGGCTTCTGAAGTGCAACTCATTTCCCAACTTTGAGGATGGCTGCAAGCATATAAGTAAATAAAAGATAATAGGACAAAAAAGCACATGCAATTGTCATATAAAGAATGTCCACAGTAAATGTTCTTAGAGCAAGCAGAAAGAACTTCAGGGGTCTTTGTATGGATAGGAGCAGATCCTGCTCTTAAAAGGGAAGTCATTGGAGGAAAGTGAAAAGTATTCCAAGTAGCACTTAGTTCAGCATATTGATCTTAGTAACAAACTGTTCTGTGCTATTTCTGCTATTTTTTCCCACCAAATTATACCTTCAGATAAACATTGAAGGATTCTTTGCACAACTCATTTGTCACTTTCTCACTGAGTCCATTCCTGGTAGAGTGAGTTGCTCTCTCTTTTGCATTCCCATGCTACCTTGGTCTCTTTTTCTCTTCCTTCGTTGTTGAGTTTACCTCAGCAGACTGTAATTTGTCCATCTACACATATTTAATTCTGTTTCCCCTGTGAGTGAGTTTGCTCTCCTGAGTGGGATCCCTGCTTTTGTATCTGCAGCATCTAACATAAGGCTTGGCATAGAGATGGCTCTGGTTGTTTGTCACATGAATAAATGCATACATTTATGCAGCCTCTAGTAAAGGGCTGTGTTGAGCAAGAGCAAAGAAATTGCTCTTTTGAATTCCCAGCACACTTATCTGACCTGTGCCTCTCTTTGGTCACTTATTTTGTGTCGTATTTTTTATATCTGTGTATCTATACTTTGCCTAGTTTTACCACATTGTGAACTCTTTCAAGATAGGATTCATGCCTGAATCACCTCTGCCCCTGGAATCAAAGTATTTGGCATAAAACAGGAAGATGGAATAACCTTGCAACCAGCAATACTGGCATAATTTGTGCCCCCTCAAATTCTGATTCAGGATTTGAGATGAGCCAGACAGGCTGCATTTCCTAAAAAGTCCCAGATGATGCTCAAGCAGGTGGTTTATGGACCACACTTTGAGTATCAAGGTCATGAGGGCAATGGTTCTCGACTGTAGCGGCACATTAGAATCATTTGGGAAGTATTAACTAAAGTCCGGGTCCCACCCCCAGAGATTCTGATTTAACGCAAGCTTTTCAAGGTTTAAGCAGCAAGAATGTAGAGTTAACTAAGCTTTACAACAACATGCAGAACAGAAGATAATTATCCAACCTCTCCTTAAATGAATTACCTCTCCTTAAATGCAAATACCTGAATAAATAACTCTTCTAGAGAAAGTAAATAACATCATCAAATCCTCCTCTCCCCAGTCAGTCTTTGCCGGATAGAGGCCCCGCCTCTGCCGGTCCTTGACACGCCCTGCACTGAAGCCTCGCAGGCCTTTCCTCGCCTTGCCCATCATGGACCCGCCCCTGCCTGTCCGTGAGGCACGCCCTGCACTGAGGCCTCGCCCTCCTCTCCTCGCCACGCCCATAATGGCCCCGCCCCCGCCCCCGCCCCCGCGTCTATTGCCGCTCCCGGGTTCCTGCCGCCGCTGCTTGCTGCTCTACCGGGTCATCTTCCGGCGTAGAGCTTGTCACGTGCTCGGATATGGGAAGTGGTGGGAGAACGGCCGCTTCTCGTTCAACGCCTTATTGAGGAGCGAATTTTAGCCGTCCGCGTCTTAGAGAACCTGCCTCGGCATAGCCGGGCTCGGTCCGGCCTTGCGGTAAGCCTTCGGCCGCGCCGCCCAGTAGCCCCGGCAGCGGCGGACAAGCCGGCGCCAGGGTCTGAGGAGGCTGCGGGGCCCGGGTAGCCAAGCTCCCCAGTCCTTCCCAGTAAGGGCTACATGCTGTCGGAGCATCCTCCGCCCCTGTTGCCCTGGGGCCTGGGGAGCGTACACAGTTGGAGGGGTCGTCTTTCTCTGTACGGAAAGAGATTTCGTTTTTGTCCCAAGCCCCTAGTGGTACGCTCTTTGGCGTGGACCAGGAGAAGAGGGTGTGACAGTCAGTGCCTTCCCATTTGTCCAAAACCAGTATTTTTCTAAATCTCTTAAGTGCATGTCTCTACGTTCATGCAGTTTCCTCTTCTAGACGATGGTGCTCCCGGTGTTAGGATGTCGCAACAGCTTATGGGCCTGACCCACAGGCGCACTCAGACCAGCTCCTCGTCACGCAGTGTAAGGGTCAAACTGAGTTTAGGGAAACAAGAACCAAAAGAGTAAGCAGTGGCTGGTTGCCTTTGGAACATGGTTAGACATGGGTTCTTAGACATGGAATATAATTTTAGAGAACCTCTAGTGATTTATTCATTGACATACAGAAGAATACTATAAAGACTGGAGACTTAATCACTTGATTCGTGGAATGTCGATGCCAGAGAAACCCGGGCCGTCTGTGTTACAGGAACCACAGTTCCCTGTAACATTGCCTTGCACTTGACAAACGTGGGTATTTGCTGAATGAGTGGAAGGACACTTGCTGCTTTTCATTATTTGCAATGTGTCCATCATCTGTTCTTACCACCTACTGTGCACTCAGTCGTTGCTTTTGACCAGAGACCGGCTGTGCTGAACGTTGGTCACTATTCATTCATTTGACCTGTTCTTAACCATTCAGTTCAGGTTATCTCAAGAAGTATTAAGTACCCACTAAGAACACAAATTATGATAGAGCGAGCATCCCTCTCCATTATCTCTTTCTCCTTTCTCTCTTTTTTTTTTTTTTAGGGACAGGTTCTCTGCTACCCAGGTTGGAGTATAGTGGCAGAGTCACAGCTCACTGCACTCTCCAACTCCTAGGCTCAAGCCATCCTTCTGCCTCAGCTTCCTTAGCAGCTACAACTGCAGCCATATGCCACCCCCTCCCAGCTAATTTTTTAAAACTTTTTTTTTTTTGTAGAGATAAGTCTCACTATATTGTCCAGGCTTCTCTTTCTCTTTTAGAGATCCAGGAGTTAACAGTCTCATGAGTCTGTTATATATCAATTGTTTGACTGGCTTAGTAAGTGCAATAGGTGCTGTAGAAATTTAGAGGAGAGATAATTTGGGTAAAGTTTTTTTTAAAAAAATAATATTATATTTACTCCTTTATCTCATTTTTTCTTTGATATTTTTTGCATTTCTGCTTCATAAGTTCAAATGTAGAATTATATCTAACTATGTCTGTATCTATATGTTAATGTATTTGCTGTTCCGTGAGTATTTTTTTTAATTTTGGATTAATGTGAGGGTACATATGGTTAGGTTAACATTGTTTGTGAAGTACCAGTTGTAATTGCGACCTTTACCCGGCAAGTGTGCCATTTACCAGTACACTCTACCTATTAAATGGGAACTTAGCAAACCCCTCTGGATCTTTATTGAATCAACTTAATGTAAAACATGAACTGTGACTAAGCGTTGGATTGGGAGGAGATAATCTTGCATGGAAAAGTGCCTAAGCAAAGATTTAAAGCCCCAAATGAAGAGAGTATTTGGAGTGGAAAGTTTGTATAATACTTGGGAATCTCAGGGGAATGTTGAGTGAGAGCTTGGTGTAATGGAAACTGTTTTAAGATTATTTGGTTGTTGTTCCATATCTTGGAAGTTTACAGGAGATAAGCAAATGGTGTAGTGTTAAATAGATAAAGTTGATATGAACCAGGGTTAGCGTGTTGGCAGTGGGAAAAGAAAGAAAGGTATAAATTATGAATAGATGAGGGAAATCACAGAATATGGTAGATTTCATGTTGGTGATGGAGGAGGGAATCAAAAATGATAGATTTTGAACCTGGACATTTGCTTACCAATGTGAAAGCTGGAAAGGGGGAATCTTGGAGGAGCTGTAGCTGTTATTTGGTACTGTCATGTTAATTAACTTAAGCATTTATTAAATGCCTACTTTGCCAAGTTCTAGGAATACACATTAAGACATGGCCCTTGCTTACAAACAACTACTTTTAATGGGGGATAGAGTACAACTAGCTAGAAAATACATTTCTTAAGTGCTTTGTTATCAGAGTGGAGGGGAAATGCTAGAGGAGTAGAAAATAAATTATTCTTTGTACATGGGTGGGGGAGGGGGGAGTATAGTGGCAGAGTTGCACTACTTCGCAGAAGAGGCAACATTTTAGCATGATCTTGAGAGATGAGCTGGAATTTCCCAGGGAAAATAATTACAGGAAAAGGGAATTACATGGACAAAAGCCCAAAGATAGGAAAGTAAACTGGCCAGTGTCCAGTGAGGCTTGAGCCTAGGATTGAATAGAACCTTAATATAGTGTCAAGGTCCTAGATACTGGAATGTCCGACCGCTTTTTCCCTTAGCCACACTTTGGAAGAATAAGAGTTATCTTGTGGGCTCGGCGCCTGTGGCTCAAGCGGCTAAGGCGCCAGCCACATACACCTAAGGTGGCGGGTTCGAATCCCCAGCCTGGGCCCGCCAAACAACAATGATGGCTGCAACCAAAAAATGGCCAGGCGTTGCGGCGGGCACCTGTAGTCCCAGCTACTTGGGAGGCTGAGGCAGGAGACTCGCTTGAGCCCAGGAGTTGGAGGTTGCTGTGAGCGTGATGCCATGGCACTCTACCCAGGGGGATAGCTTGAGGCTCCGTCTCAAAAAAAAAAAAAGAGTTATCTTGTGGCACAAATTAAATACACAAACACTAAGGAAAGCTAATTAGCGAAAAAGGGAAAAAAGATCTGTGCATGCTTTTTGTGATATCCAGCACCATAGATGAGCAAAAAAAGTCCTCACAAAATCAGTATGCAGCCCATAGGCCACAGGTTAGATACCCACACAGGCTAAGAACATATCAAGGGATTAGCAATATGGTCACTTTATTATAGGTCAAATGGGGGTTAGGATGGTGAAGCTATCTAGAAATGGAGAAGAAAGCAATTGGGGAGAGATGTACTTCATGGCTTTTATATTCTCTGCAAGATAGATGGTGAAGTCATTTGCAGAGAGAGAGGAGGCTGACCCTAGAGTTGAGGTCTGAAGGAGAGTAAAAAGGATTTGCAATAATAGTCATAGGGAAGCCATCAAAGGAAGTATTAAAGAATTGCTGAAAGTCCAGCTTTGGCTGGATTTAGATATTTGTAATACAAGCAATGAGCATGGGTATCTTGCCTTTTTTTTTTTTTTTTTTTAGACAGAGTTGTACTCTTTCACCCTGGGTAGAGTGCCATGGAATCATCATAGCTTATAGCAACCTCAAACTTTTGGAATCAAGAGGTCTTCTTGCCTCTGCCAGTAGCTGAGATTACAGACACCCACCACAATGCCCAGCTAGTTTTTCTATTATTAGTAGAGACAGGGTCTCTCTCTTGTTCAGGCTGGTCTAAAACTCCTGAGCTCAAGTGATATACCTGCCTCAGCCTCCCAAAGAGCTACGATTACAGGCATGAGCCACTGTGCCAGGCTGGGTTTGTTGCTTTTTATAGTGGCATCTGGTAGCCCAAGAAAAGTGGAGAAAAAAATATTGTTTATGGAGATTGATTTTAAAGAAAAACAGATGAACTGCTTCAACTGGGGTAAAATTATTGAAGGGGATACTGTGGGTATAGGTAAATGAGCTGCCTCCAGGCTGGGCTGGGAAAGAAGTAAGTCTTGGAGAAGCTAGGTAGACTAAGAGAATAGGAAGTTGCCAGCAAACCACAATGCAAGGGTACATTTCAGAACAACTAAGAGTAAATTATAAATGTCTTACTATAAAAAATAAGTGAGTGGGTGGTTATGTTAATCAGTTTGATTTAATCATGCCACATTGTATATCAAATCATCACATTGTACCCCATAAATGTATACAGTTATGATTTAATAAAGAATTAAAGAGAATAAGATGGAGGGTGGTATCAGAAGACAGAGAGGAGATGGAAGAAGGGTGGTGGTGGGAAGATGTGATTTTTGTGAGAAAAGCAATTTTGAGAGTTGGAGCAGAGATAGAAGTTTCACAGATTGAGTAAAATATAGGAATAACCGAGCTTACAAAAGTCATTGTATTATAAAAATGCCTTGTAAATAATTTATTTAAAACTTGTAATTTCTTCATCTCCCATAGAAAGAAACATTATTTTAGGAGTTAGTGACCTAGGCAAGCGTACATGTATGAAATACTATGTGTGTGCCTTGGAAAATAGTAATATGTGGCCAATTTTAAAATGGTCAAATGGGCCTGAGTATGGTGGCTCACACCTATAATCCTAGCATGCTGGGAGGCCACGGCAGGAGGATCTCTTGAGATTAGGAGTTCAACATCAGTTTGAGCAAGAGCAAAATTCCATCTCTACTAAAAATAGAAAAATTAGCTAGGGATGATGGTGTACACATATAGTTCCAGCTACTTGGGATGCTGAGGCAGGAAAATCACTTCAGCTCAGGAGTTTGAGGTTCCTGTGAGCTAGGCTGAGGCCATGGCCCTCTAACCTGGGTGACATAGTGACACTCTGTCTCAAAAAAAAAAAAAAAAAAGAAAGAAAATAGTAATGTATACACACAAATATGTTTATGGATAAAATAGAGATTTTAAAAAAGTACTTCAACTTATGTTGATGTTTGAAAGACACTGAGTTAGGTGAAGAAAAGGAAAATTCACCCTTTTCAATTGTATAATTCAGTAATTTTTAGTATATTCACAAGATTGTACAACCACTACTATCTAGTTCAGGAATAGTCTGTAACCCCCCAAAGAAACTTTATACCCATTAGTAATTTCTCTTTCTCCTCCAGCCCCTGGCAACTATTCATCTTTCTGTCTATGGATTTTCCTATTTTGGGCATATAAATGGAATTACAAAATATGTGACCTTTTATATCTGGCCCTTTTCACTTAGTATGATGTTCTCAAGATTACTCAATGTTGTAGTATGTGCCAATACTTCATTTCCTTTTTTTTTCCTTTTTGTTTGCTGAATAATATTCCACGGTATGGATTTATCACATTTTGCTTATCTACCAGCTGATGGACGTTTGAGCTGTTTCTACTCTTCGGCTATTGCAAATAATGCTACTGTGAACGTTGATGTACAGGTTTTTGTGTGGAGATATGTTTTCAGTTCTCTCAGGAGTGGAATTTCTGGGTCATATCATAACCCCGTGTTTTTACGAAACCACCAAACTGTTTTCTAAAGTAGCTGTACTATTTTATAATCCTACAAGGATTATATGAGAGCTCCATTTTCTCCACATCTTCAGCACACTTGTCGTTTTCTGTCTTTTTGATTTTAGCCATCCTGGTGAGTATAAAGTGGCAGGCTTCTCATTGCGGTTTTGCTTTGCAGCTCCCTAATGACTGATAATGGTGAGTGTTTTTTCACGTGCTTATGGCCATTTCTATGTCTTCTTTGGAGGAAATCTATTCAGATTTTTCATTCACTTTTCAATTAGTCATTTTTTCTGTTGTCAAATTATAATAGTTCTTTATATAAGAGAGTATATTTTAAGGATTGAATATAGGTTTTGTTATTTTTTCCTAAAATCTTGTGTGTTATAGTACTTGGTGAGCTCTTCTAAATATTTCAGAATTTGATAACAGTGGTTCTCTAATTTCCTAATTTACAGCTTTATGTTTTTATAATGCAGGTGTATTAATGTATTAAATCATCAAAATAAGATCTTTTTAAATCATAAATAGAATCGTATGAGGTCGGATGATTTTGAGAAAGAACTTAATATCTATATTCTAATTTTTTGCAGCTGAGAAAAGATGACAGCGATCAAACATGCTTTACAAAGAGACATTTTTACACCAAATGATGAACGTCTGCTAAGCATTGTGAATGTCTGCAAAGCAGGCAAAAAGAAAAAGAACTGCTTTTTGTGTGCCACAGGTGGGTATTCAGTAAGAAAAAGTACTTTATTCCTTAGGGGACATTTCTTTTTTGTTTTAAATGTTCTCATTGTCTCTATAATTGGAAAGATTGTTGGGTCAACAAATTTGTTTTTTAATTGTTTTTATTAAATATTAAATAGATACAAAAATTTTTCTGTAACATATATATAAGGTATAAAGACTAAACATACTTGGGTACTCACCATGGTGTGAAAAGAATATTCTGTTACCTTTGAGGTCCCCCTTATGCCCTTCTTTGATTCCATTCCCTCCCTGCCCCCATTAAGAGGTGATTGGTATCCTGAATTTTGGTTTACTATTTCCTTGCTTTTTCTTATCATATCACTACATATGTTTGTAATTTCAAACAATGTCTTGTTTAGTTTTGTATGCCTTTGGTTTTTACATAAACTGTATCATGGTGCTTGTATTCATTTGTGACTTTTTCCATCTACTTGGGTTGCTGAGGCAGGAAGATTACTTGAGCTCAGGAGTTTGAGGCTCCTGTGAGCTAGGCTGAGGTCAAGGCACTCTTACCTAGATGACATAGTGACCCTCTCTCTCTCTCCAAAAAAAAAATAGTAGTATATACACATAAATATGTATATTACTAAAATAGAGATTTTATAAAAGTACTTCATCCAGCTACTTGGGATGCATTAATGTTCATGAGTTTTATTTTTGTTCTTTTGTATTTATTGCTATATAGTATTCTACTGTATGAGTGCACCACAGTTTACTTAGCAGCTCTCTATGATGAACATCAGCCTTATTTCCAGGTTTTGCTATTGGGGAACATTGTGAACTTGTGAACACGGTTGTTCTTACCTCCTGGAATACACAGGCAGGAATTTGCTAGGTTAGATCCTGGGTGTGGAGTGGTTGAGTCATAGGTATATGAATGATCATTTCTACTCTAACATGAATTATTTTCAAAAGTAGTTGTTCTAGGTATTTGTTTTGGTTTCCATACGTCCTAGGGGTGCTTGTTTTGTTTTGTTTCAGTTTTTCTTTTTTATAGCATCTGATCTTCTTAACACTTGGTTTAGGAGACTGTTAATTGTTGCCAGTCAGATGGGAGTGAAATAATAGCTGATTGTGTTTTAAATTGCATTTCCCTAGTTAATAATAAGATTGGGTATCTTTTTGTGAATTTCTTAGTCATTTAGTTACCTTGAATTTACCAATTTAAACCTTTTGCTTTTTTGAAAACCTGTTTTGATTATCCTTTTACTGATTTGTATAAGTTTTTTGTCTAATCTGGGTATTAATCTTTTGTTGGTTGTATGCACCCTGGTTTGTGGCTTGTCTTTTTACTTTTTTTTTTTTTGTGAACCCACCACCTGTGGTATATGGGGCCAGTGCCCTACTCCTTTGAGCCACAGACGCTACCCTGTCTTTTTACTTTTTATGGTGGCTGAAAATTTAATTGTAATTTAATAAAATTAATTAGTTTGATCTTTTATGGCTTCCCCTTTTGGTGTCTTAGCTATCCTTCCCATGTATCTTTTATGCAGTCATAAAAATATTCTCCTGTATTATCTTCTAAATGCGTTATGATTTCACTGTTCATTGAGTGTGTTTCTTGGTTCTCTCTTATATTTTGTTTTTTGTTTTTTGTTTTTTTTGAGACGGAGCCTCAAGCTATCCCCCTGGGTAGAGTGCCGTGGCATCACAGCTCACAGCAACCTCTAACTCCTGGGCTCAAGTGAGTCTCCTGCCTCAGCCTCCCAAGTAGCTGGGACTACAGGCGCCCGCCACAATGCCTGGCCATTTTTCGTTGCAGCCATCATTGTTGTTTGGTGGGCCTGGGCTGGGGATTCGAACCTGCCACCTTAGGTGTATGTGGCTGGCGCCTTAGCCACTTGAGCCACAGGCGCCAAGCCTTATATTTTGTTTTTATTTTGTTTTTGTTCTTTACTCTTACCTGAATTTTTGGATCATCTTATCAAGTTTCAAATATTGTTGGGATTTTGATTGGAATTGTTTTACCTAGAGTTCAATTTGGAGGGAACTTGCATTTTTATGAAATTGAGTCTTCATGTGCCATCCTATAAGGTTCACCATTTTCTTCAAAGGTTTTAAGCATATGTTGTTGCATTTATTCCTAGATATTTATTTATTCTTAGATTGTTTGGTACAATCATGAACAATAGCCTTTATTAACATTAATACATTTTTTAAATCATTTGTTGTTAGAGTCCTGAAATGTAATTGTTTTTTTAATCTGGATGTCTATCAGTCTTGCTAAACCTTAATTTTTTTTTCTTGCTTTATAGTCTTCATATTTTTTAATTTATTTTTGTTGCTTTAGTTGGCTAGTTTCTATTCTGGCTTTATACACATTTTTTTCTTTCTTCTTTTTCTTTCTCTCTTTTTTTTTTTTTTTTTTTTTTGGCAGTTTTTGACCAGGGCCAGGTTTGAACCCACCACCTCTGATATATGGGGCTGGCGCCCTACTCCTTTGATCCACAGGCACTGCCTTCTTCTTTTTCTTTTAATCATGAATAGAGTTGAGTTTTATCAAGTGCCTTTTTTTCTCACTCTGTCTCTCTGGGTAGAGTGCTGTGATATAAGCACAGCTCACAGCAACCTCAAGCTCCTGGGCTCAAGTTAACCTCTTGCTTTAGTATCCCAAGTACAGGCACCTGGCCATGATGCCTGGCTAGTTTTTGCCATTTTTAGTAGAGATGGGGTTTCACTTTTGCTCAGGCTGCTTTCAGATTCCTGAACTCAGGCAGTTCACCTGTCTCGGCCTCTCCTACTGTTAGGATTATAGGAGTGAGCCACCGCACCTGGCCTGTCAAGTACATTTGATATCATTGAGGTTACTGTATAATTTTCTCCTTTAATTTGTTAGTGTGGTTAGTAATTATACTTGTTTTTTTCAACTGATGAATTTACTTCTTAGAATAAAGTATGTCACTGATTATACCATATATTATAATTTTAGCTACTACAAAAAAGTGCTATGTTATTGCATTGATTGTTAAGACTTACCCTGATTTCGGAGATTTTTAATGTGGGGATAAAAAGTACATCTTAGATTTGGTGAAATGAAGTATTTATCTTTCATATATAATCCTTGGTTTGCCAATACGGTACTATATTTGTTGAGATTTTGTGTCTGTATTCATTAGTTACTTGGTCCTATAATTTTCTGTTTTAGGCTATCTTTGCCTGGCTTTCTAACCAAAGTTATAAAATAAATTAGAGAGCATTTCTCCATTTTCTTTCTTTTATTTTGAGACAGAGTCTCACCATGGTAAAGTGCCATGGTGTCATAGCTCACAGCAATCTCCAACTCTTAGGCTCAAGCGATCTCTTGCCTCAGCCTCCCAAGTAGCTGGGACTATAGGTGTCCACCACAACGCCCAGCTATTTTTAAAGATGGGGGTCTCACTCTAGCTCAGGCTGGTCTTGAACCTGTGAGCTCAGGCAGTCCACCTGTCTCAGCCTCCCAGATTACAAGCATGAGCCCTCTTGCCCAATCCCCATTCCTCCTTTTTCTATACACTGGAATAGTTGTGTGTGTTTGGAATGATTTTCTTGACAAAAGCTACCAGTGAAATTGTGTTGAACTAGTTTTTTTGCCCGGGGTGGGTGGGTGGGGTGGACGGTGAGGGAAGATTTTTACTTACGAGTGTAATTTCTTTAATAGTTATAGAATTTTCTGTTTCTTGAGTCAGTTTTGACAAATTATATTTTTTAGGGAAAAACCACTTACTTTGAAAAAGGAACTGGCATTTGCTGCAGTTATCCCTCTATTCTGCTGCCAGATTAATTTTTAGAAACTGGAAATTAGAGCAAGTCATTTCCTTAATTAAGATCCTTTAATAGCCCCCCAACTTCAGATAAAAGGCCCTTTATCTTCTGACCTCCTGTCTTTCTCAGTAAGAAATGAAGTCTTTTATTTCCATCCACTTCACTACATATACTATCTACATGTATATTGAGCTGTTCATTGTTGTTCTTTGAACAGTATTATGCTCTGTCAAGTCTGTCTGATTTTACATATGTCAGTTCTTTAGATTTTACCTCCGATTCTTCCTTTAAAATTGGTCTGAAGCTTTATTTCTAAAGGAATCTGCCTTAGACTGTCTGGTGTGATATAGCTGCATCTGTTAGGGTTCTGTGCATTCCTCAGTTTTAGCAGTTAAGGTATGATACCTCTTTTGGTATCTAGGATGTGAAAGCTGTATTTGCAATGAGTGAATGAAGAATGAATGAGAGATAATTATTTCTAACGGAAGTGCGTATTTTCACTTGGCAGTGACAACTGAGCGCCCTGTGCAGGTGAAGGTGGTCAAAGTCAAGAAGTCTGACAAGGGCGATTGCTACAAAAGGCAGGTCGCATGGGCCCTTCGAGACCTTGCTGTGGTAGACGCCAAAGATGCCATCAAAGTATGTTTTCTTAGTTCTTTGACCCGTATTTAGAAGGTATCTTTCATTTTATAGTATTTTAAATTTTAAGATGATCTAAACTTGTTTTGTGACCGCTGGTTTACCAGCCACTAAGAATTAGTCTAAAAGGTATTATTCAGCCTCCAAACGCTGTGCCCACAACTCTTGGACTACTAAAAATAAGTACTTATGTATGTTTATTTTATTGTTTTTGCTTTTTTAAAGCTACAGTTATGTTTATGCACAAGCTACATAAACTAGAGCAAAATAACCTTTACTCTGTACGTTTCTGTATTTAGGTTAAGTATACTTCATATAATATCCATAAGTTAGGATGGATTTTAAAGGGGTATGTGAATTAATTTTTTTTAATCAAAATCATGTGTAATATAACCATAGTGAGTTTTCCTTAGTAGAATCACCAGCTGAGGCAGCCAAACTGGCCTCTTAAAGCCATGGCCTTGATGTTTGTGGTTCAAGTAAAGAAAGTGATAGTGGATTACATACCTTATTTTAAGGAAATTAAAGAATAAAACTTATAAGAATATAAATCTTATGCCTTATATTTAAACCACATTCAAACTCCAAGAAAGTTTGATAAAACTTTCTGTGATAATCACATTAAAGGACCGTTGGTTTTTCTGACAGTTCAAGGCTTTTTGCAGCAATACTCTTTTTCAAGGAAATAAAGTAACCCTCCTTTTATTAAATTAGATGTTTCCTCCTCTTCTTCCTCTCTGATCCTGTCCCTCATCTTCCTCTGCTGCCCACAGGTGCCTCCAGAGCACTAGAGAATCCCCACACCACAGCCATCTGTACTGTTGATAGGATTAATAGCAAGACTTATACACTAATGAAACTACAGGCACACTTTGACTTACATCTACAGTCTTACACATTTATTAAAAAGGCACAAAGAAGTAAAAAGGCTATCTTTGTAAAGCAATATGATAAAATTCTGGTTTTACCTTATTTTTATACAAACCACTGAGGACCAGAAATCTAGACAAAATGACAGGTGTAAAAAAAGCAACAAAAAGGGTTATAGGATAGCCCTGCGTAACTGTACAATTCTGTACAATTTCTTCCAAATGCAGATAACACCTTTTCTTTAAGTATTTTAGGCATACTTCTCCTGAATTCTGTTACCATGAGAGGGATCAAGGGGAGAGACTTTTGGGGTAGGTTTCTGTTTAACAGAAAATACTTGTAAGGGCTTTTAAAAAATGCATCTTTATAAACAAAAAATTCTTTTTCTTTTCAGTAGTTTTGTACTTCACAACCCTGTTTACTTGCATAATTCACTAACGTTGGTGAATGCTTATTTGAATGCATTCTCACAGCTAATGCCTCATTGCCAACCTGCTTAATGGATTCTTTTTTTTATTTTATGTAGGCACCTTGGTGTGTGTATACTATATATGGATATAAAACATAAAATTTTTATATGTAGCCTAACATTAGCCATTTAGTATCACACATTGATTTGTGTGAGTGTTGCCACTGGAGCACTCAGCATCTTTGATGGCATTATGGGAAATACTCCCAGGAAGATAACATTTCCCATCAAGTTTTGTATTAGCTGCCAATACTCTTAGATCATTTTTATAAGTAATAATGTAATTACCTTTTAATTGTAAATGCACATTTTTTTATGTTTCAATTCTGTTTATTAAGCCATAAATGGAACTAATTAGAAGTTCCATGCTACTGTAATATGATTGTTGTACCGAAGGCAAGTCCTGATCCCTAAAGTGATACAGTTCCTCACAGTAAAAGTCTGATTCCCTTACCCTTAGTTTATATTTTGTTCCCTCTAAATAACTCTTTAAATGAATCAAATATGTTATTATCCTTCTATTTGTAGAACATTAAGAACATTTGAGCCTATTTGGTAATTCCTTGGATATGAAGAAAAGTGTACATCCATAAGTTTTTTTTAATATATAATAGTTAAGTAGCTCTACATTTGAAGGTTGGAAATATTAGCCTGGGGTGGAATTACTACTATAACCTGGCTTAAGAGACATGCAGAAAGCAGAGTGTAATTCTCTGAGAATAGTTGAGCTTCTTTGTCACTTGAAAGAACTTTAAGGCCCACCAGTATTTTTGGCTTTTGAACTGCCTTTAATCATTCTATATTATCAAAATCGAAAACAATTAGAAGCAGTCCCTTCTTTTCACCTCATTTATTCTTAGAAAGTATGCCAGGGTATAGATTATATTTTTTCTCCTATGTTATGATTAGAAGATAAAGCCCTTATTAAGCAGTTAGTAGCAAATCACAGTTATGAGTAATAATAGTATGTTATCAAAAAAAGGTGTGATTTCTAAAATTCTGTAGGCAATTTGAAGAGAAAAATTAGGTCCATGTCAAAACCAGAGTTCCTTGTCATCTTACTGATGAGGAAGCTGAACCATAAAGCCATTATACTCATAGGTTGGAGGGCACAGGAAGAAAAAGACCACAGTAGTATGTTGCTTTCATCTAGATCTTTTGGTTGATAAGCAAAGTTTTTGCTATAAATTGAGTTCTTGGAATCCTTCAAGTTACTTAGCAGACTTCTTTTTTTTTTGAGACCAAGCCTCCTTCTGTCAACCATGCTGGAGTGCATTGGTCAGTTGTAACCCACTGCACCTTCCAACCTCTGAGCTCAAATGATCCTCTTACTTCAGTCTCCTGAGTAGCTGGGACTACAAGTGTGTACTACCATGCCCAGCTAGTTTTTTTTCTTTTTAATTGTTTTGTACAGGTTCTCGCTATATTGTCCAGGCTGTCCTCAAGTGATTCTGTCATCTCATCCTCTCAAAATGCTAGGATTATAGGCATGAGCTACTGCACCAGCTTTACATAGCTGACTTTTAATGATCATTTTTTTCTAAGAACAGCTTCAATTCTCTTTTTTAATAGAAAGTTTATGCTAATAATGAAAAGGGGTATCATCAATAATATCTTTTGTATATTCTTATTTTAGGAAAATCCTGAATTTGATTTACATTTTGAAAAAATATATAAATGGGTTGCCAGCAGCACTGCTGAAAAAAATGCATTTATTTCATGTATTTGGAAATTGAATCAGCGTTATCTTCGGAAGAAAATTGATTTCGTCAATGTTAGCTCACAGCTTTTGGAAGGTAAAGTTGGATAAAAATGTATATGTAAAATCTAGTGTATCTTTAATTGAATATATAATTTGACATTTAAAGTAATTAGAATACCAAATTACCTTATATTGTAAGGAAATGTAACAATTTTTTGTGGCTAAAATGATACTTGTTTATTGTAGACTATTAATACCTTAAATTAAATAAATAAAAACTTATAAACTTATTCCTCAGAGGATACACTGTTAACATTTCATTAGGTATTAATTTAGTGTTTTTATTATGCATATTTAAATAATTTAAGAAAGAAAGAAATTTACATTCTGTTTCCTAACATACTTTTTCATATAATATATTATGAACATTTTCATGCTATTAAATACTTACCCCAACATTATTTTTAATAACACTGTAGAATTCCATTATACCATAATTTACTTAATTTATCATTTTTGCTTAATTTCCCAATCTTTGCTTATTTTAAACAGCTCTGGGATGAATATTCTTATAGCAATATTTTAATGCAGAGTGCGGGTATAGTGGCTAAGAACACAGCTCTGGAATCAGCCTGCCTAAGTTAAAATCCTGGTTTTGGGACCTGCTGTCTGTAGGACTTTGTGTAGTTACTTAGTCTCTATATTTCAGTTTCCCTTATCTCAGAAATGGATGCAATAATATGTAGTAGCATCTACTTCACAGAGTTATGAGGATTAAATTCTTAATGTACAAATAATGATGAGAATAGTGTCAGGTATATAGTAGTGTTCAGTAAATAACAGCTATTATGTTATTAGAATAAAATTCTTAGATATGAAATTAAGATGATCGATGTACCTTTTGGAATGTTACTATGTGTTATTTGTGTTACAAGACAGAAACCCCACCAATAATTATCAAAAGTATACAACAAGATTCTATACTTTTAAAATTTTTTTTGGAAAGACATAAACATTGTAAGAAAATAGTTCTTATGCTTTATGGATGCAATTTGCAGTCTTTGCTGGCATGGGACTGAACAGAGTTCTTACTCCTCTTTATTGAGAAAAAAACTTAGATTTGTCCTAAGTTGTATATTAGCGTTTAAAAATAGAAGCGTCTATTCTGTCAGGATGAAATTGCCAATATTCAGCCATTTTAATTTAAAAAGTTGGCAATTTCAGATGCTTCAAAGTATTAACTTATTTAGTTACTTGCCTCTGTCATTTCTGTCTTGTTTTACTTACTCCTTTTTCAGTTTGACCATGGACCTTTCTCTCCTCAAATGTGGTCTTCTTTTCCAGCTCTTACTAGTTACTAAACCTGCTACTGGTTTTAGGCTTGATGCTGGAAACTGGCAGAGGCAAGTCACATCTGGCAGCCAGGCTGGACTTACATAGGAACCCCCAGGATTGCCAGCTCACCAAAATTGGTCCTTAGCATCTTGGCAATTGAGCTGTTGAAGCAATGAAATTCAAGAAAATGATGATAATTTTTTATACCTTGAATTGTGGTCTAATTTGGTTAAATGGCTTTTATTTTTTTACCATTTCAGAGTTGAACATTCTGATATGACAGTAATTCATAAGCTTGCTTTTCTGTTTTCAAATATTGTGTATTTCCAGATGTTATTTATTGATAACATTAGATGTATTTTTTACTAATATATTTTGTTAGGATAGTCATTTAGGAAAATATATACTCTACCTGGATCTACTTCATGAAGAAATATTACTAAAATCAGTAAGAAGAGTATTGCTGTTTTTGAGAATGAAGTATCTGAGGAAAAAATAGCATACAGTTTGTCAGGGCATTAAACAAAAGTGAAGACATGTTCATGTTTATAAACATTGACCCTAATAGAGATTAATTTTAATAATACTAAGAAGGGTCTTAAGAATCTCATTTTGAAAGTCACTTTTTATACATAATAACTATTGCATTGGTTTACTGTAGCTTAGGGAATAGCTTTATTAATGTCTGCAAACTTGTTTTAATGGGCCTTGAAATCATGGCCATTAATTGCCATTAAAAAAATGTTTCCACGATTTTGGGTGATGTTAGAAAATAAAAAATATCACCTCCATTAAAAGCTCAATAATCATCCAAGTAATATTTCAAATTATAAATGCTAGCAATGACAAATTTGGTAGTTTTTAATAGTGATAATTGAATGGTTGAGTTAAATAATTGGAACTTCTCAAATAATGTTTTTAAAGAGGACTTTGTTAGCAGTTAAAGGAGAGTAAAGTTTTTGTATGGCCTTTTCTTTTTTATTCTTTTACCTGTAGCTGTATTTTTAAAACTATCTTTGACTAGAATCCTTAAATGCCAGCTTGAATTGATACCTTGTGTGCTTTTTCACTTGACTCAACTTTGCCCTTTCTAACAGTGTTTGTGACTAATCTTTTGTGAGGGAGTGTCTGGGTAAAGCTTTTGGGCCTTGAGTAATGTAACCAGACTGAATGCATGAGTCACAACTGACCTAAAAATAACACCCAGGAAATGATTCCTTTTCCAGTTGTCTAAGGGTTGGTTAGTGTTGTTTCTTAAAAGATAGAAAATAGAAAGATAAATATATTTTTCATCACTATCAGAAAAAGAGAAAGAAATGAACACTGGAAACTTAGCTTTTTATGGATCTTCCCCCTTGGTAGTTGATTTTGATGTTATCTTTTGAACCTTAATTTAGCATAAAGTTCAGATGATATATGGGTAGTATTTTAAAGAGTTAAGCTTGTATACTTTTCTACCCAGCTAATACTCTTTGCTTACTTTCCTCTGCTTTTTTCATACCTTTTTACTCTCCAGAACTGCCTAAAGTTACAGAAGGTGCGTAACACCTTTTCTTGTTACTCTATTCCATGTGTTTTCATTAGTTGCCATTGTTATATACTGTTGGTTGCCTAGTTTACAAAATTATGTACAGGGACAAATATATTATTTACATCAAAGGATGTAAATAATATTATTTACATCAAAGGATGTTTCATGAGAGAGAAAATATTTCTGAAGTAATTATTGTGATTGTATTTGTTTATTTTAAATGTCTACTTGTGAAAGGACCTGTCCAGCCAGAATTATTTGGGCAATCCTTGTTACCTAGTACCCCCTAGTGGCTAGTAATTTCCGCAGTGCACAAAAGTGGACTTATTCAAAGGACAAGGAGCTCCGTGATACCTCTCTAAAGAACTTACGTTTCTATTCTGTAATCTGTCATTGCCTGTACTAAAAGTTTAGTCCTCTCCTTTTCTGTGATATTATCTAAATTTGTTATCATTAAGAGTAAATCCATTGTTGCTTCAAATTAGCTGGTTTTTGTTCTGGGACAAATGAATATATTTTAAGTTATGCTAAGTGTTAAGTATTTATTTTCTTATAAAACAATGAATATTAGTATTGAGAATTTATCGAAGTCATGTCCCAATAAGTCAATGAAGTCAGTAACCTTATTTAGAGTGGCTAAATGTCTTAATGATTTCTTTCATCTTATGTCTCTCAGCCTCAAGCTTTATATAAAATAGCCACATGTTAAGTGAATTCTCTGAAGAAAATGAAACATTTATCAGAAAGCACTTAAGATTTGATCTCCTGGTCTTCTGTTATGAAGCGTGGAAACTAAATTTTTATAATTTCAATCACCCATGTTGTTGCTCTTATATTAGAGTTACTAAGAGAGCATCTGTAGCTCATCCTTAGATATTTTATCGATACATATGAATTTTTTTTTTAATTAAGAAATGGAAAATTCAGTTATTATTTTCATTGTCCAAAGTAAATCGTGGATTGTAGATACATTTTTTTTCATTTTAATTAAAAGTTGTTTAAGAGAACAAAATACAACAAAAATGGATAGGATGAAAAGGTCAAAAAAATGTTACCTGGGAAAAAAAGGAAAGCAAATTGTTTTCATGTGCATTGAGTTCATAGTCATTGTTTTGTTAGAGCAGCACTGCCTCATGTAGGAAAAAGCAGTTAGGTTTGTTTCCACCTCTTTTTATGTTTTGTTTTTATATTTTAATTCAATTGTGTTTGGGGAATTATGATGAAAGCTTCTTTTAACACTTGTAAGTCAGTGTATTTGACTGCATGCTTTTTGTTTTTTAGGACTTTATTTCACTAACAGGACATTTATTATAAAAATAAGATTTTTTTTCTCATATATTTTGAATCATTCTTTCCCATTTTTCAGCCATTTAATATGACCTGTGCTTAAAACTGATCTTACCTAGCTATACGTACCATGTCTTCCTACTTTTTGACTATTGTATTTTGAATTTTTACCTCTTTAAGAATCTGTTCCAAGTGGAGAAAATCAGAGTGTGACAGGAGGTGATGAAGAATCAGTAGACGAATACCAAGAGTTAAATGCAAGAGAAGAGCAGGATATTGAAATAATGATGGAAGGCTGTGAATATGCAATCTCTAATGCTGAGGCCTTTGCAGAGAAATTGTCCAGAGAGCTGCAGGTGCTAGATGGGGTAAGACTTTATTGTAATCTATGAATTTGTGTTTTATAGAGTATTGATTTTAGTGCCTCAGCACTTAGGCCTTCATAAACAGCTCGTTGCTGTCTTTTATGTATAAGCACATTAGCAGCTGCTATCCATCTTGTTCTTGTTCAAAAAATAGAGACATTCCTATTAAGCTAGTAAAATGGAGGTTCTTGATAGGAAGTGATGGAAGTAGACAACCAGAAAACATTTGGGGGGTTGATGTTCTGTGCCTCTCAAACACCTCAGAATATATTGCTCAGTGCCAAAGAACAGCATTTTTATGATTTGGGAAAAACAAAAAATTGCGATGAATTAGAGAGAATGTCGGCTGAAGTAAGTGAATCATTTGTCAAAAGGGAGCAGGGTAAGTGAAAACAGGAGAGCCAGGGGAGAGATCTTTGACTTCTCCACTAAAGTGTTTTAGAATAGAGCCTTTTAACTTGCTTACAGTTTCTGAGTCTAATCTAAATGCAGACCACTACTTCTGTGAGGAAATCTAATACAAATCATTTGAGTTTTAAAAATTTTGTTTTGTTTTGTTTTTAAGAAAAGATAAGCATTTGGGAAATCCCTTAACGAATAAGGAACTTTTTTAAGACTTAAAAAGACCTGAATGGTGCAGAATTCGTGGAGTCTTAATTTAAGCCTATAGAGATTATGGATTATGTGCATAGTCCAAGTTTACAAGTTTACAAAATGACCTGGAGGCAAAGCCTGTAAGAGATTTCCAAGTGTCAAAATGAAAATTGTCCTGGGCAGATTCAAACCCCAGTTCTGTTACTTGTATGTATGTATGTATGTATGTATTTTTGAGGCAGAGTCTCTGTCACCCTGGGTAGAGTGCCATAGTGTCATAGCTCATAGCAACCTACAATTCTTGGGCTCAAGAGATCCTCTTGCATCAGTTTTTCATTTTTGGCACTGGCCTTGACCTTCCAAAGTGCTAGGATTACGTGTGAGCCATTGTGCCCCCGCCTGGCTAGTTCTGTTACTTTTTTTTTTTTTTTTTTTTTGGCCCAGGCTGGGTTTTAACCTGCCACCTCAGGCATATGGGGCCTGTGCCCTACCCTTTTGACTCACAGGCACCGCCCCCTAGTTCTGTTATTTTTAAGAGGTCTAAGTGGGTTCTGTGCCCGGCTGACTCTTAAAGTTGCATTATATTTGCATCTGAGTTACTGTGAATAATAGATAAAATAATGTGTGAAACCATGGTGTCAGTGATATTCTTTTAATTTCTTGTCCACTTTTTTTTTTTTTTTTTGAGACAGAGTTTTACTCTGTTGCTCTGGGATCATAGCTCACAGCAACCTCAAATTCTTGGGCCCAGCTGATCCTCCTTCCTCAGCCTCCCAAATAGCTGGGACTATGGTCACCCGTCACCATGCCCAGGTAGTTTTTCTATTTTTAGTAGAGACAGAGTCTCACTCTTGTTCAGGCTGATCTTGAACTCCTGAGCTCAGGTGATCCAGCCTCCTCAGCCTCCCAGAGTGCTGGGATTACGGGCATGAACCACCAAGCCCAGCATCCTGTGCATGCTTTTTTTTTTGCCGGGGCTGGGTTTGAACCCACCACCTCTGGCATATGGGGCTAGTGCCCTACTCCTTTGAGCCACAGGCACTGCTCCTTTTTTTTTTTTTTTTTTAGAGACAGAGTCTTACTTTGTTGTCCTCAGTGGAATGCCATGGCATCATAGCTCACAGCAACCTCTAGCTCTTGGGCTTAGGCGATTCTCTTGCCTCAGCCTCCTGAGTAGCTGGGACTACAGGTGCCCGCCGCAATGCCAGGCTTTTTCTTTTGTTGCAGTTTGGCTGGAGCTGGGTTCAAACCTGCCACCTGTATATGGGGCTGGTGCCATACTCACTGAGCCACAGGCACTGCCCATCTTGTGCATGCTTTTTTCTTCTTTTTTCTGTAGAGACAGAGTTTCACTTTGTTGCCCACAGTAGAGTGCCTTGGCATCATACAGCTCACAGCAACCTCCAGCTCTTGGGCTTAGGCGATTCTCTTGCCTCAGCCTCCCGAGTAGCTGGGGCTACAGGTGCCTGCCACAACGCTTGTGCATGCTTTTTAATCACACTTTGTTACTTACCATCTTAATGTGGCTTAGTGATTTATAGTTTCTGTTCTAATTAATATTGTATGTATGTTCCAAGTTGTCATACTTCTTTACAGTTTGATTTTGGATTGGTGGTTTCCTTATTTCAGGAAATTCAGAATCAATAGTCAGAAACATTTACAAAGTAGTGGTATTTGTTACTATTTTGCCTGGAAGAAACCCCCAAAGTTGCAGATGAAAGGGAAAAGGTAATAGAAGGAGCTATCTTTTGGCCACATGCTCTTTCACATCCTCTTATACTACAGTTACAGATTAGCTTCAGAGTGCTATACCACTGTAGTCAACACCCCCTTACAGTGTGGAGCAGTAGTGGTTGGGGCCTATTAGGAACTGAGCCTCAAAGCAAGGCAGGTGGGCAAGGGAGCAAAGGGAGCTGAGCTTTCTTTGTATTTCAGTGCTGTGTGTTTCTGGCATCCTGCACTGTTAGGAACCAGGCTGCCCAACTGGAGGTGAGCAGCAGGCACGGGAGCTAAGCTTCATCTGTCTGCTTTCTACTCCTTGGATCACCACCTGAGCTCACTTCTTATCAGATCAGGGGTGGCATTAGATTTCCATAGCCCCAAACCCTACTGTAAACTGTGCATGCACAGAATATGGGTTGTACGTTCCTTATGAGAATCTAATTGCCCTGCCCTCTGCATCCTCCCCCATCCATGGGAAAATTATCTTCCATGAAACTAGTCCCTGGGGCCAAAAAGGTTAGGGACTACCACCCAGATTCAAAGACTGGTATACCACTACTACCTTCTCAACTAAGGTATTACAGAAGTGATTGTGCTTTTAGTTAGGGTTTCACATAGATGTTAAAAAGTATAGAAAATTTCTGCAGATGGTAGAGTTGGAAGGTATCTTACAGACTGTGTGGCCTAATGCTCCTAAATTTGCAGGAGAATATGCCATTACTGATGTTCTATTCTGGGACAGAACTCTACTTGTGTAGTCTGTGGAGATATAAAATATGGAGGCAATTGTTCCATCGAGAAATACTGTTAAAAAGTGGAGAAACATAAACATATAGCGATGAACTAGTCACGTGCATGTGCATCAAAGAGATTTAGCAGCATTTCATCTTTATATTCTTTTACATATTTACATAACACGGGGTGTTTTCTTCTGTAATATTGTAGGCCAACATCCAGTCAATCATGGCCTCTGAAAAACAAGTGAACATCCTGATGAAATTGCTGGATGAGGCGCTAAAGGAAGTGGATCAGATTGAATTGAAGTTGACCAGTTACGAGGAAATGCTCCAAAGTGTGAAAGAACAAATGGATCAGATCTCTGAAAGCAACCATCTAATTCATCTTAGTAACACTAATACTGTAAAACTCCTATCTGAGCTAGAGTTCCTTGTGGTAAGTATAAATTACCACCACCACTGACAGAAAAACTAGTGACAATATATAAAACCCATTTGTAAACATTTCCTAATAGCAAGATTGAAAATAATTCCCAAGACCTAGTGATTGGATTGAGTAGCATCTGGTCTGTAAATTTCCCAGTATTACATGAGCAAACTGTGTATTTGCATATATTCCAGAACCACATGGTCTTAGCCAAAGGTCACCTGAATGCCCTTATGGATGCAGAACTTGCTTCTTCCAGAGGCATCGAGGCCTGCACCAGTGCTGCTGATGCCCTTCTGCAGTGCATGAATGTAGCTCTTCAACCAGGTATGTGTGTTGGAAATTATAACACTCCGACCCAAAATCTGAGACTAATTCTGTAGCTTGATATAAAGATTTTGACAAGAAATAAGTGAGACAAATGGTTTATGGGTATATTATTCGCTACTCAAATTTCACTGCCTTCCCAACTTAACAGTGAGAACTTTTTCACTTCAGTTCCTTCCGATTGACCATCATTGACTCTAGTTCACACTATGATCATTCTTTTGTACTGTCCACAGAACCTAGCAGAGAGCAGATGCTTTGGTTGGACAGCATAAGGTTTTCCTAAGCCATGGTTTCACAACTTGGGTTGCATTAGAATCACTTGGAGGGGTTGTCAGATTGCCCCCCACCCCCCCAGCCCAGCCCCACATTCTGTAGGTCTGAGTTTAAGTTTTAGAATCCACATTTCTAATAGTTCACAGGTGATGCTAAGGCAGTACTAGACTTTGAGAACCACTGTGCTTTACCATTTTATCTCCTGCTTCCTCTTTATAAACCAAATGAATAAGCCAGTGTGACTGAGTTCTTCAAAACTTTAGACATGGTTACTGTTTCATTAAACATAGAGGAATTCTTTGTATCCATTAAATCAGTCAAGAAATGTCATTCTGTTTCAGGCCATGACATGCTTTCAGCAGTCAAAAGCCAACAACTGTTTTTTGTTAGTTTGCGAGAGAATTTTGCCCGGAAACTGGCCAGTCACCTCAACAATGTTTTTGTTCAACAGGTAATTTTATTTTATTATTAAAACTGGCATGTTCCTATAGCTTACTTATATGTTACCTAAAACTTAAATTTCCGTAAAAAATTACTGTGTTTAATTAAGGTTGCAATAAATTCTTTCACACATTTATTTGATTTTAAGATTTTCAAGCTGGGCGTGATGGCTCACACTCGTAATTCTAGCACTCTGGAAGGACAAACTGGGTGGATTGCTTGAGCTCAGGAGTTCAAGACTATCCTAAGCAAGAGGGAGACCCCCTTCTCTACTAAAAGTAGAAAAACTAGACAGGCATGGTAGTGTATGCTTGTAGTCCCAGCTAGGAGTTTGGGAGGCTGAGGTGAGAGATCTCTTGAGCCCAGGAATTTGAGGTTACTGTGAGCTGTGACGCCAGGGTGAAAGAGTGAGACTCTGTCTCAGAAAAAATAATGATGATTTTCAAATATGTGTTTATGCTTATAGATGTACCTTGGGTCTTAGCTGCATCCATAAGTAGATAGTAGTTCCTTTAGGCTGAAACTCTCTGATTCTATAGATCAAATAAATAACTATGTATATTAATTGCATAAATTACTTAGACATTCTTATTTATAAAGGTAGGTCCAAACTTATTATATGTTAACTGTTGGACCTTTTTGGTTTTTCAGTATTTTGAGATGAGAATTAGGACTTGACTCAGTGTTTTAAATGTTTTATAAGCTCTATATACTTTTATACATAATATATATATGAGAAAATGACCATAGCTCAGTTAGTTCATTTAATATTCATGTAAATGCTTTGCCTACATTTTTATATGGAAAGAGATATTATAAATAAAGATGTGATAATAATAATAGTAAAAGTATCTTAGAGGGATTTGGATAGCGTTTTAGTATCTGGCGTAATGAAATAGGTGTCTGGTGTTTATCATCTCTTTTATTCCTTTCATTAGGGTTATGGAGTAAAAAAAATTGGGGGGAAATGTGACTTATCAAGAAATGATATCTGAAAACATTGGATTCTTACTTTGTTTTCACTTTGCAATATTCTGAAACAGTTGTATTTACTATATTTTATTTCCAATCAGTTTACTCAGGCCCTCCTTCAACTCTATAACAAGCCCTACTTTCTTTCGGTTCCTGTGAGTACATCAAATTTGGCTCAAGCTTCTCTAATTCCTTTTTTTTTTCTATAAAGTTTGCTAAACTTAATAGCAGAATAACTATAGATTATAACAGAACTTACCAATTTAAGCTACCTGTTAACCACATTCGTAGCAGTTTTTTAATGGCCTATAGTAGAGTTTATTTTGGTTAAAAAGGCATTTAATCTCATTCTGCTTGCCTTTCTTTCTGTAATTTTTTTCACTCACTTATTTACTCCTTCATTTAATTAGTAATCATTTATTTGCCAGGTGATTGAGGTACATACCAGACATTGACTTGAGATAAATGACAGGCTGATCTTACCTTAGTAACTCACAGTCTAGGGAAGGGAGTGTTGTGATAGTGGTACTGTGGGAGCATAAAGGAAGATTTCCTAACTAAAGCATGGGAGGAATCAGGGAAGATGCTCAATGTTTCAGTTGACCTGAACAGAGTTAAGAAAAAGCAAACTTTGGGGCTTGGCACCTGTGGCTCAAGTGGCTAAGGCACCAGCCACATACACCTAAGGTGGTGGGTTCCAATCCAGCCCGGGCCCGCCAAATAACAATGACGGCTGCAACCAAAAAATAGCCGGGTGTTGTGGCAGGCGCCTATGGTACCAGCTACTTGGGAGGCTGAGGCAGGAGACTCGCTTGAGCCCAGGAGTTGGAGGTTGCTGTGAGCTGTGATGCCACGGCACTCTACCCAGGGGGACAGCTTGAGGCTCTGTCTCAAAAAAAAAGAAAAAGCAAACTTTGAAGTCACATAGGAAATACAAATTTACGTTTTTCTTTTATTATTATTTCAGTAACATCTATTTCAAGACATTTCCTTAGTTTTTAAAAATGACACTGGACAATGATGTTATCCACATTTGTAGATATTGAAAATACTAGATAATAAACAATAGCCCTTTTTATACCATTAATCGTTTAACATGCAGTTATTTATTATTTTGCTTCTTTGCCTTATAAACTAATGGCTTTGTTTTGAAATGACTGCATCCCATTTCTGATAATATGTATTGTTCCATGTGAGTGATGCATGCTAGAAACATGAATGCTACAACAGCCCCTGGGACATGCTGAAGAATGGGAAGGGGATTTCCCCACATAAAAGAAGATGTTCTGTGTGTTGATTTCAGCGTATCAGGTCACCTAGGAAAAGAGTCCGAAAACATGGGTATTTCTATTCCTAGTTTAGGGATAAACTAGCTGGAAAAATTTCATTAACATTATGATATGGTTCTTTGTCAATCATGAAATTTTCATAGTTTGTCCCTCGTATACTCACTATCGTCCATATGTATGATAAGAAAAAGAAATGGCTCCTGCCCTTGAGATACTTGTATGAAGGGGTAAGACTAATGGATTTAAAGCTCTACAGCAGTGGTTCTCAACCTTCCTAATTCCGCAGCCTTTTAGTACAGTTTCTCATGGTTGTGGTGACCCCCACAACCCAAAAATAAAATTATTTTTGTTGCTACTTTGTAACTGTAATTTTGCTAATGTAAATATCTGATATGCAGGATGTATTTTCATTGTTATAAATTGAACATTATTAAAGCAGCGATTAATCACAAAAATAATATGTAATTATATATTGTGAAATATTTATTTCTAATTACAAATAAATGAAATTTTGTCTTGATGCATGGTATAGCATGGGTAACAGTGTTAATACAACACCAGTAAATTACATTGCTACATTTTGCCACAGTATGTGTAAAAGGGCAATGTCAGTGGGAAGGTTGAGATTACTTCTTTCTCACCAGATCAGAAATTCTCAGGTCAGTCTTTGCAAGAGCACAGCAAAGATCATCTTCCACAAGTCTACTTGTATATTTAGACTTGATAACCAACAAGTTGGAAAACCCTGTTTCACAAAGATATGTTGTTGGAAATGGAAGAAGAAGGCTCAACACAGTCCCAGACAAAACAGGATATGACTGCAAACACTTCATCCAGAATTTTCTAACTGGCATTGGAGAGAAATCAGTTCTTGCTGCTTCGCTGTTAATAAGTTCAGTGAACTTCTCTTGAGCTGTCTCAGGAACATCTTCAGCTTTGACTGTGAATGGGCTTCTGGCAAGTGCAAATGGGGTGTCAGGTAGATTTGGAAAGTACGATGAAATTTCGTCTGCAAGCATGTGCAAGTGTTCTTTCACAGAAACTATCATTGTAATCCTTTTGTCTGGTTCAATGTCATGTTTCTTAAAGAAAGCAGATAAGGTAGGCAACATGTAAATTTTATTTTCATCCAATTTTTTTTGCCAAAGCTGAAGTTTCATTTGGAATGATTAGATCTTTTCAGACAAATCGAGGCATGTTGCATTTGGTCCTTGCAGTGATAAATTTAACTCATTCAAGATGGCAAAGATGTCAACCAAGTAAGCTATTTTCTGCAGTTCACTTTTATTGCTGAAAATTGCTTCGAACTGCAGTCTTGCTTTCTAATTAAAAAACAATTTGAGTTCATCACGAAGCTCAAAAACACGTTTTAAAACTTTTCCTCGCGACAGCCATCTCACTTCAGTGTGAAATAGCAGAGTATTGTTTGGTGCATCCAACTCCTTGCACAGTGAAAACAGTCGGCTGTTTAAAGGGCTCACCTTTACAAAATTGACAGAACTTTTTTTCATTAACTTCTTGTAACATTTGTGGCAGTGTCTTTGTTGCTAATATTTGCTGATGAATCCTACAGTGAGTTCTGATGACTTTTGGTGACTCATTCAGTACCAAAAGTTGAAATCCAGATCAACATCCTAGCATAGCTGGATCACCATCTGCAAACACCACAAACCTTTTCCCAAGAGGTCTTATGGTCTTTCAGAAATGAACCAACATGTCAAATAATATCACTTGCAGTATTTGTTGTTTCAAGAGGTTTGCGAAAAAGAAACTCATCTTTAAAGTCGCCACCATTAATATACCTCATGCAAACCAGTAACTGAACAGTTTGCAACGTCTGTAAATTCATCAAGCTGTATACTAAATATTGGAAGTGGAGCAGATTTAATTTCCTGGATTACCTGATCAAGAATATCAGCAGACATGTCATCTATTCTTCTGTGGACAGTGTTGTTAGATAAGGAAATAGCACTCAATTTTGTAACAGATTTGTCTCCGATCATAACTCAATGTCTTTGGCCGCTGGCAACAGTAAATCCTCAGCAATAGTGTGAGGTTTCATAGCTCTGGCGATTCCCAGGGCCACCAAATGTGAAGTTTCAGCGGCTGCTACGTTTTGTTTGTTTGTAGTACTTGCCACCAGTGTCCAGTCTGGCGTCTGGCTTTCTTGAGTCCATCAGCTTTGCTTCTAAAATAGTTGGTGTCCTTGCCAGCAAAGCTCAATGCTTGCTATCAAAATGGCGTTTTAGTTTGTTCAGCTTCACAGATTTGACTGATAGAACTTCACAATAAATAACACATTACAGTTTCTCAATTCCTGCTGTAATTACTGAGATAAAACCATACTGTAAAAAGTCCTCATTATATTTTTGGGTTTTTTTTAGAGAAAGAGTCTCACTTTATCACCCTCAGTAGAGGGCGCATCACAGCTCACACCAACCTCCAACTCCTGCGCTTAGGTGATTCTCTTGCCTTAGCCTCCGAGTAGCTGGGACTACAGGTGCCTGCCACAATGCCTGGCTATTTTTCTGTTGCAGTTTGCTTGGGGCCAGGTTTACCCTGCCCACCGAGTCACAGGCACCACCCTATTTTCTTAACTTCTTCTCTACAGGATCCATTGTCATGGGATGGTTTGCTAATGAAAATAATATATAACAATAGCTTTAATAACACAAAAGATGATCCATGGCATAGTTCACTCAGTACAATTCATTGAAGTTTCTTGTGATTTATAATTCTCTGTGTTGTT